TGTTAGGCTATGCCCTCTCTATTTCTGGTAATTCCACGCCGGTGGAAACTCAAACAAAACACACAATAAGAGGCTCTAATGCATGTGTGTCAATCTCGCGGCCCATGTTACCTGTACTTGCGCCCGCATAATGATGTGAAGAAATATTTTTAAAAATTACTTTTCAACAAATTATTTATTATGAAGGCAATATGAGCAGAGTGTTACAGGCATAGCCCTAGAGAATGTAGCCTCATGGGCAGTGTAGCCCAGTTGTAAGTAAGCTGTTAAGACTCGACTGTACGCTGTGTTCATGTTTTCCTCCGAAACAATAAGTTCCGTTGGAGCAGCCTTTCAACGCCTCTCTCTGTCTCTCGCTAGCAAAGTTGACCCACACAACAAAGTAAAGCTAGTTTTCGGTTACGAGCCCGACACGGAACCCGACGTATTAGCCAGAGGTCCCTTTACTACAGTTCGGAGCCGCGGACCTGAAAACATATGCGTGCAATAGTTTTCTATATGAGATCGCTGCAAAAAGTGCAGCCTTACCTAATGTCCACCCTACTGTTACTCATTTATATTAAGATTTAAAAATCTAGTTGGTATTGGTATGGCGAGTATTCTTCAGTAATAGTAAAAGATCACAGAGCAATAGTACATTCATTTAGTTGCCTACATAATTGCCTGATAATATATTAAGTAATCCAAATTATTCAGAATAAGTTACTCTAATTGAGTAACGTAACGGAATAGGTTACAAAATACATTTTGGGGCATGTATTCTGTAATCAGTAGTGGAATACATTGTAAAAGTAACCTTTTACTTTTACAATGTAAAAGTAAAAGGTTCCCAATGAAAATCTTAACATCTTCATTACTCTACCACTACCAGCTTGGCCTCCTATCTGTTTGTCACTGTGTCTTAACCATACATAGCAAGTCTCGCGAACATCTCATAAACTTCCCATTCACTATCCTTCTGTAACAAATCAGCCCTGACATTTGTCTCTAACAGCTCCCCCCATTTGCACACTCTTCTTCACCTCTCCTCAACACTGCTTCTGTTGCCTGGAATTTATCCCAGGTACTTAAAATAACCTACCTACATTATCTAAACTCTATATTTTAATAGTACAATCAGCAGAGTCTTTATTTATCCAGGTAATGTTTTCACACATTCAGTATTCAGTCTCTCTACTAGTCCTTTTACAGCAACATTACATGTAGCACCATGGCAAATCATCATTCTGTATTATACTGTATTACAGTATCTAATGGTTACACTAACAAGTAAACAGTAAACCTACTGGTAGTTTTTACATGGTTGAGCCAAAGAAATGTCTCAATGATTCTGAAAAGACAAGGTTTCTTTAAGCATCTTAATGCAAAATGTTTTGGACACTGGACAAGCTGTGCTACAAGCAGAGACAGTTTTAAGTTTGACATCTAGAGCTTTGAAAAACATCTACAGCAGGTTTTCAGAACAACAGCTCACCTTTGCACTGCAGGCCCTGCCTGAAGAGGCCTTTGAGCAGCTTCTTGCAGTGCTGGCAGACAGTAGGCCGGGTGTAAGAGTGAATGAGGAATGTGTGGGGAACTTTGACTTTTGACAGTAAGATCTTGTCAAGCTCAATGGGACGGCCAACATATGATTGTGAGCTGGATCGCCGCTCTCTGCCAGGAAAGTAATCTAACTGGTTCTTCTGCTGTTGGGAGAAACAAGCAAAGCATTTCAAAGTTTTTCATAAGTTTCTAGTTTTTGCCAGTGGACCTGTTTTCCATGATAAGTCACACTTAAAATGATTTTTTATGGCAGCAGATTTAGAGTTTGGTTTCTTAGCTCTGGGGTTACCGTTGCCTGCGAGAACTATATGATAAATAGACTAACAGATGGGAGAATGAATTGCACAGTATAATTTAACTTGGCTGCCTGTTCACTATTATGCAATAAGTAAAAATGACCCTAGAGAAGTATTTCTATGTAAAAAGATGGGAGGACTTACCTCCATGCTAGGACTGACTGGAGACTGGACAACAAAAAAAGAACAAAAAAAGTTACTTCAACATTTCTGAAAAACTGTGTTCCACAGGTCTGTGCTTTTGTACTGACCAATAAAGCATCATCACTGTAGTGGGGAGGTGAAGGCTCAGCAGAGAGCGGACGCCCGATGTTGATTATCCCGCCTGTCAATGAGACATTGGAGGGACGACGCCTCCTCACCCCGCTGCAGTTGTTGGGGATCTTAAAGGCACAGCGCTTGTGGTAATTCAGACCACAACCTGGAGAAAAGGATAGTGTCTCTTTTTAAAATTTTACCTCAGCCATAATGTTCTCATGATTTCATCTTATGGGAGTAGGATATTTTACCTTCACATTTAAGTCCTTGGCGTACAAGTCCCCACAGCATTTCCCCACAGTGGTCGCAGAAGGCTGGAGCTCGGTACGAATGGACAAACAGGCAGTGTGGACGAATCTGGAAGTCCTCTACTGTGGCTGAAGCTGTAGAAAATTATAAGATATAAATGAATTCCAACTACAAGTTTTTGTGTCTGTCAAGTAAGGTTATATGTGTACTAGGGGGTTGATGCACTTAAAAGAGTTGTAGTTGCATTTATTGAAAATTGAAAAAAGTTTAAGTGTAAGTAATAACATAGAAGTATAGAAGGGTCAGCTGAAATGTAAATCTAAAATAAAAGCAATGACTTGAGCTTAAATTTCAGGTAAAGTGTAGTGATGGGATTTCCGGATCTTTTTAGAGAACCGGCTCTTTCGGCTCCCAACTGGCTCTTCAGGTTGTTTTGTTGCTTTAATTAATTTATTATTGACAACAATATAAAATTATTCACAAAAGGAATTACTAATGTAAAAAAAAAAGTGGTTTTATTTATATATGTTTATATATAAATATATGCGGTGGCCCCCAGAGACAAAACACGTACAAACTCCAAAGCACATTTCTAGCGTTAACTGAACTTCCAAAACAGAGCTACCTAGATCACTTAAATTACACAATTGAAAGCATATGCGTATTGTTTGTGTATTTATACACAAGCACTCATATGTATTCACATAATTTAAAAAAATTTTTGTTACTACCACACACCAAATCCAGTCGTTGGTACTTCCTGGCTTGTGTGGCCACTAGGTAACAAAGCTCAACACTGCCCCTAGCATCCTGGAGTACTTCTGTTGTGTTTTGGAGTTTGTACGTGCTTCGGAGTTTTTACATGTTTTGGAGTTTTTACTTGTTTTGGAGTTTTTACTTGTTTTGGAGTTTTTACTTGTTTTGGAGTTTTTACTTGTTTTGGAGTTTTATGCTTTGTCTCGAGGGGCCACCGTAAATATACTTTTATTTATTCACTCCACATAAAATTTAATAAATAAATCATATAATACAAAAACCAACTATTTACATTTCAACTTTAACTATTTAAATTTTCAGCTTTTAAATATAAATATGAAAAAATATGAAAACAAAAAGAACCTGCACATTCTCTGTCATATGGACCTGCATGAATAAACTTTCTGAATCCTTTATCATCCGCAACAGAAAATAGTTGTGGATGATTACTATACCTTTCTAATGTGACGTTGTTGTCCCTGGCTCTCTTTCTCTCTCTCTCCCTCCCACTCTGTTCCTGTGCTACTGCGAGTGTAACTACCGCCCCTCCCCCCTCTGCCCAGCGCAAAGCACAAGGCTGGCGTGCGGAGTGAAGCGGGAAAAAGTGTGTGTGAGAGAGAGGGTGAGAGAAAGGAAAAAAAACCCATGGCTCCCAAAAAGGAGTCGGCTCGTGTTGTCCATGTCAAAGTGTCGGCTCTAAGAGCCGTTTCGTTCCCCATCACCAGTAAAGTGTAAACATGACAAAAACTTTAGGGCAGCTGGTGCTCAGGAGGTGGCAAAAGTTGTTCACTATTCAGAAGATCGGTGGTTTTAGTCCCTGACACTTACAGTGCACACATCAAATTGTCCTCAGGCAAGTAGAACCTCAAATTGCACTTGTGAGGGTAACACATTACACACTAATGAATGGCTGTACATATGCATCAGAAATCATATTACAAAAGTTTTTCAAATATTTGCAAAAGAAAAACATTACGTGAAATGTAAGTGCTTAAGAAACTGAAATGTCACTACACACTGTACTTTCATATTTGTGTTGAACTGTTTCAGTTAAAAATAAAGGTTAAAAGAAAGAATAAATATAATCTTTCTTAAACATTGTTTACTTCTTTGTGTATTAACTAAGGAAGTAAAAGTGGCAGTTAAAAAAAGAACTGCAGATAAACCTGGAGATTCATTAAAATATGGGTTAAGAGTCACTTGAAAACATATAACACAACATAAAATGTAAAACTCGGAGAAGTGGAAAAGTGAAGACAAATGGTGTGTGAATGCACTGAAATTAATGGGGTTTAATCATAAGAAGCTGAAATGTGAGCTGGACTGTACGCTGTTACATCACCTGAAATCCATTTTCACATGTCAGCTATGAAGTTTGCAGTTGAAGAGAAAGTGTCACTTCAAATGAAGGATAAGCATAATTTTTTAAAGGGATTTCTACGATAACGACCTGAGATGTACCTGAGTCAGTGTACGGTAGTTTTTCCGACTTGAGAACACTCCATAAAGTTGTGAGCAATTTTCCCACTTAAAGGATAGCAATATTCAAATCAAGGAAAACTGAAAGTGAAAAATAAGAACATTCCAACATAATAGCAATCCTGAATGTTAGACTTTTAATCACTGCTGACAAACCAATCTGTGGCACCATATTTTCCTCCACATTTTCCAGTGTTTCTCCGTGCTTTTAATTTTATTTCAGAGATGAGCAGCTGCTTATCTGGGGTGACTGGGCTCTTGGCCACAGCAGCCATCTGAGCCCAAATATCCTCCAGCTGTTTTGACAAAAACCCAGTTGGGTGTACAGGCAGTGCCGGTAACCCCTGCTGTGACACTCGTAATGTCAAACAAAGAATCAGTTTTTGCTGTTTTTATAATATCACAAAAAAAAAAAAAGACAATGAAAACAGGGGCAAAGTGAATGGGATTTCTGGTAGAAACAGCTACTGACTCTGCATCTTTACATTTAAAGTTTTTAAATAGAAAGCATTAAAGCTCACTTTGTACTACAGTCATTGGCACCAAACTATTGATTCAGACTTAGAGCTGGCATGTGTAGCTCCAAAGGAGTTTGGTAGTAATTCAAAAAAGAAATTAAAACAGAGCGCAATTTATTAAGGAATGCAAACATCAGTCAGTAGCTGCTGAGTCTACAAACAGCCAACTTTGGCCAATCAGCTCAACATAAGAACTAGAAAAATGTAATTGTAATATTTACAACTTGTTTTTGCCTATTTATTGGATTAAATATGTGGGTGAGAAATGTGAAAAGAAAATCTCAGAAATAAAGAAAAAAGAAATACTGAAAAAAGATAAACCAGATAAACCAGAAACATTTACGACTCAGATTTTATATTATTTTACTTTTGTACTTCTGTCACAGCTTCATGGGTAACTGAGATTACCCATGAACTGGGATTAATAGTTACTTATAGTTTAGACTCCATTAAATTTCTTGTTTCTTTGATTTCTTTTGACATCTGATATTTTTTTATTTTGGAGCATGTACAAAGTTTTACTTTTAGTGTTCTTATACATTTGAGAAAAAGACAAGCCACATTTCTAAAGCTTGTTTCATGCTAGACCTTATTCACATATCTTCACATTAAACCTTTTTTTAAGGATTGAGTGGGTGTGTAAAGCCTGTGCTTGATTAACATTTCCCATTACACCTGTTAGGGTGGAAAAATGTTTATCGTTATTTAGATTGTTAACGCCTATTGGCTCAAAGAGTATAGGAACTTTGACATTTTCGTATTAGATTGTATTTTACAAAAAGTTAACACATATTTTTGAAACTTGTTATACAAGTCAGATTCCCAACTAAGAAAATAAAAATTTCCTGTAAATAACGTAGTTGATAAAATAGATATTTATTTATTCTAGATGTGTCAAATTAATATGATAATAATAGCGTTGCATTTGCCACACTGACTGGGAAAAAAAAAGAATACATTTAAACCTAGAAACACTGAGGCAGTCAATGCGACCCTGATAGAAATCCATGTAAAACGCTGGGTTTAACATGCACCCCTGATAGTGTAGCAAAACATGATATAACAGGAGCCATAAGTAAATATATAGGGGGCTGTGGTAAAAGATGAAAAAACGTAGCCAACTTAATTGTGTCTTCTTGCTTGACTTTCTCAATGTTTGTACAAACCGAATTCAACAAATTCCTACTTTAAGTTGATGAGATAATAGGTATTATGGTGTTATCATAGTAAACTCCAATAATCTATTTTCTAATCTGTTGTCTATTAGTTTTAATACTATCAGTGTAAATTGGCAGCAAATCAGAACCAATTATGAAATTATCTTTTTTTTCTACATTATTAACACACTGCATACAAATGTTCAATACTGCCAGTGCATGGGTTTGGATATATCATGTATTCTGTCTGCTGAGACTGATTCAGTCAGATGTAATTCTGTAAGAAAATTATTGTTGAAATGTGCCACATATACTGTATGTTATATGTAATAACCTTACTTATTGTTTATTAATTGATTTGCTTTTTTTCTGCATGAATTCTTTCTAAAAATATTGTGAATTTGAGAAAGGAGTAAACATGGAGGATGCTTGTAAAGATGAAGTGCATCAAACACACCTAATTGATTACATGATGACGAATACATAGAGGAAGAAGGTACATTTTGTAGAGCATGGGATGCTTCTCCTGTATAGGGGTGTGGGTGGATGTAGAGTTGGAGACAAGGGTGTTGGGATCCTGACTTGAATGGTCTGACTAAAGCAGATTTTGTTCAAAATTCCAAAATATGACAGGACACTTAACCACATACATCTGTCAGCACCTCTTCAAAGGACTTTCCTGTAAAGACAGTCTGCCAAGGTGATCCATCTCCCAGAGAAAGTGTGTAGGAACTGAACTGGCTTGTAATGGCTGGCAACAGGTGCTGATTATACAGATATAGGTGGAGTAGCATTATTACCGATGTGAGTGTTCAACCTGTTTGTACTGCAGGACAGTCAGATCTGTCAGACCTAAGACTACGGATGGAAGTGAACCAAATCTAAATGGAAAAGGTGACTCGTGGTTTTCACACGGTTTTCTAACACATTTTGAGTTAAGCCACCTTTGCCTGCAGTCTGATCAAGAAGTGAGTTGTCAATTAACAATTTCACCAAAGATCTGTTCTCTGATCACTTCCTTTTCCCCATGCTGTTAAATTTACATCGTTCAACATTTCAGCATCACTACAATTGTCCAATAATCAACCTTCCTGGGTCCCCAGAGCCAGTTGGTTTCCACTCCATGCTGTTTCTAATTCATTGTGATCTGTCGCTCCTTTACACCAGCTCCTCCTCATCCATGTTGTCTAGAACATCTCATCCAAACTCTCCATGAACCATCTG